TGTTAGAATATTTGATGAAGAATAAACTATTTGCTGTATATTCTGGATTGAAACAATAGTCTGACCTTCTTACCATTATCCCGTTTGCAGTCTGTTATCCAAAGCCCAATCTAATAAAGATGCAGAAATTATGATTTTCGATAATTTGCATATTTTTAGTAGGTGCATATTGACTCGGTTAATTTTTTTTTTTTTTTAAACGATTCCAATTTCAATCACAATATTGGGAGTAAGGATTGGTTCAATTAAGCAAAATAAATTATGTTTTCAGACAATAGAGAGATAGAGCATATATTGAGTCTTATTTCGGAATCAACAATATAAAGGGAAATTAACTACTTGTATATTGTATTACAAAATCAGGTAGTTTGCTCACTTGGTGATCCTATGAAATTAAATGTCAATAAAGTGTTCCATGTATTCTTTTCTTAAATGTATCTTCTTCCTGTTAAGCCGGATGTAAAATTTCCTTATATGGCAAGATAAAAGTAGAATTAAGCCAAACAACGTCACTCAAATGACATCTATAAATAATCCGTTAACTTTCTCGACTAATAATTATATTAGGTGACAAATACTGTAAACTGATAAAATAAAATATGTAATGATTCTTAAATGTGATTGGATACAGGATTAAATGTGGGCTTTTGTCTAACACTGGGTTAGATATGGAATTCGGACGAATTCGAGATTGAATAGGGGATTTTCAAAACCAATTTTTTGATGGTATTTCCAAGGTAAAATGCTATTCATGGAATAATAAACATTTATTTCAAACCTCCTTTAACATCAGTGCTAGAACATATTGGGAAAAGTTAGTTCCAGACATGAAAATAGAATTTACATTTAAGACAAACTGCTCCCTTAATTCATAGATGAATAAAGCTACATTACTACTCTCTTACAACACTACTAGGGGGCTCATTTATCAAGCTTTTCCACCACTCGAACGTCACAGAGTGAAGTGCTTCAAATCATAAAGCGTGATGATACCTGTTTATGATGACATGATTTTTCATTACAGTACCCTTGTAGGCTATATTGTAATCAGTTTGCCGGACAGGTGGGTGGATGGGGGATGGGTGGATGGGCGTCCTATAATCTTGTATAACATGTTGTGAAATCAAACGTGATATGCGAGGATTAAACTGCAACTGCGTACCAACAATTGTCATTTCCGTTGTATTTCACTGCTGATACAGTTTAGTTATTCACTATTTAATTGGTTATATCCCATCCAACATATCCTGTCCCAAAATGGACAATTCCCATCCTGTCCCTTTCAAAGATATTTTTGTCCCGTGACATCCCTAGTATAGATCTGATGGATGAGACGTTGCCACTAACAAGGACTCAAATGTGTAGTATCCATGCAGTAGCTTGGTGAATGAGGCCTCGGGGCATTTAATATTTTCAGTGAAACACCCAACACTTTTGTTATTCTCTAATTCCAGTAGAGGACATATATCACTTCTCATTCTGAGAGAAATAATACCAGAGCCTATTTATATCAAACTCTGACCAGACTTATAATGAATCTTAATCAGCCTGCTGAGATGTAATGAATAAGGCATTTTGTGGATTTATTATACTTAAGAGAATTTTAGGACATGACTATGATCACTTTATGAGAACATTCCCCATATGAAGCAGTCTAGCAATTAAGGTAGGACTGGAAGATGAATTGTAGACACATTTGAACTCATCATTAGTGTGCAGGAATCCATATAAAAGTCAGATTATTTATTTAATGTTACTAGCCTTATTATTAGTCTATACCAAATAAATACAAAGCATTCGACTTAGAGTGACATGTAAAGAGAGGTATGAGGAACATGAAATTTTGGTACCATACCCCAGATAGTAGAAATACCAGAAAATGATTGAGCCAGTAGCATCCATGATATGTATATTATTTGAAATCCCATGGTGTTGAATTTTTGTGTATTGAGAAATAAGGGACCAATTGATACTTGCAAGTAAGGAAAAGAGGGAAATATCAGATAGAGATGCTTATCCCCCTGGGAGATGGCATTACAAAAGTCACTTTCACTATTAATCACATTCTGAAAAATTAATATATATACTTTGCATGAATTTGAAAGTAAAGTATTTTCTCCAAATATTTTTGTAAGTAAAACCAAAAATCCATGTTGAGGCTGTGACAGATGAAATCAGGAAACCATGAAGAATTTTATTTAGTGTGTTACAAACTGGATCAAGTAGCCACATGGGAGTATTATGAGGTTCTAAACAGCATTATCAGGTCAGATATTGATAACATACTGGTTCCTCTCTTCAATATAGACATAACAGTGATTCAGTATTTTCCATTTTGACGATTTTATATTTTACTGCATCATCTAATTAGATATAATCGATGTGCAAGTAGACACTTGGGATATACACGGGACATTAGCATTTAGTAATTTCAAAAATCTCATCATTTAAAGGAGCAAAAACAGATAATATGAACTTATTTAATACAACCATATCTACATTATATACAGTAAACCCTTAATATGAATTGGAACATCTTTGGTACCTAAAAAAAGTCTTCTTAGGTGTTATAGAGGTACATTTAACATGAGTCATGAAACTCAGATATGTTCTACTTATAAATGTAATCCACTTACAGGTGTGGTTCACTTTACAGGTTAAACATGTACATAACCTGATGGTGCTACCTCAAATATGTCAATTTAACCATCGATGCCAACTCACACAATTATGCCAACTGACTCGGAAATACCAATTCATATACACTACAGGGTGTTCATAAAGTCTCTTTACAAAGTCTGTAAAGTGTAGAGACTTTATAGACACCCTGTATATTCCATAAAACTACCTGAACCAATCCTGATCAAATAAATGTCTCTCTTTAAGTGGTTATGATGCTCTTGGGATAATCTTGTTTTTATTGGTGTTTCTTAGCAGGAACCAATCTTTGCATCTACAAATATACATCAATCATTAATCGGAAGAATTCCAAGTCGCAGTGAAAAAAACTTTTCATGTGTCAGATTTATCAGTTAAAAACATTAGTTTTATCAGTTCAAAAATTCCACAGTAGTTATTGGTTAAGCTGTATTTCACTATTTATCTTTGAAAACCTGAAATATTACCTTTAGGTTAAATGCTATGATGGATATGATTTTTTGGCTCACATGGTAAGCCTATGGAATCACCCACTCCTCTGTCTGTCAGACTTACATAATACTTAGATTTTAGCCTATAAGATGGACATAAAAATTACAGTTCATTGTTGAAATAATGGAACCTGTATTAAATCTTTCTAGTAAAGTGTTTTGCAATGTTTAGTAGAATATTTTGTTTCAAAACTGTACATGAAGGCTTCAAATGGAAAAATGAAAAAGTAGATTCCCTTTTATATCGGGGAAACTATACCATGCTCTAAAGAAACATGTAGATGCAAATGTATATGTTACTGTATGGGGATAAATGGATTTTGTACTGACAGGTTTGAACCCTTATTATGGAATAAATATGATGAAACATTTGGATAATGTACCGTAATGAGAAGCCCCTCATAAAATCATGATACCGCAATCCGTTTCGTGTTGCAGTGTTATTGGGACATATGATTTGATATTTAAATGATTGCTGACTAAAAATTGTAGTTTGAAATCCAATCGTCCTTTCAGAAAATTGTAAGCCAGTGAATGATTTTTTAGTTAAAATTTTGAGCTAGAATTGTCTCAAGCTTCATCACTCTTAAATACTATTTTCTTGATCTCAGTTTAAGGATAACATATGGCAGGTTGACATTCTAGTCTCACTATATATAGTCCAGTACTAAATATCTAGTTATCCCATCACTTTATAGAGATAATATCATTTTACCAACAACACAGTAAGAAAGCTGAATTATCTTTGGAAACAAGTGAAGATATTGTTTGAAAGGTAGAATTTGATAAAAATCAGACACTTCATTTATTCTTAATGCAATGGAATAAATGCGAAAATAGAGAAGTTATTTGGGTAGGTGGTCTAATCTTTCAGCATAACTATAATGGCAAAGAGATTAGATAGTGTTGGAATTGTAATAAAAGTCCATGTAAATCAAATGTAATTATGTGATGAAGTATTCTACAAATTGTACCAGGATACTGTATATTAGAATGGGTAAGAAAGAACAGGATTGTATTGATGTATTGTCAGGTATCCTCCTGAATTGTCTATTGTGGTTTGGATGTGGTCACAGTTTGATGAATAGCTTGCTTCTTTGGTTATTTAGTGAACTTGAAATTGCTCTGAAAGTATGTTGACCAAGTGTATTTTACTTTATTGTAAAGAACTCATATGGTATGAAGAAATATATACTAGAAAAACTCTTCAATTTTAATTACCAATCAGTCTTGCATAAAAAATATACAATGGCAGAGCAATCGCCCGGGCAAGCGAGAGGTCATGAGTTTGATCCCCACTTGGGTGGACTGACTTTTTAACATCAGCCCTTAGCACAGGATTTCATTCTGTGTTTTCATTAACTCAGTAACGGACTTTCAAGTCAGAAAGTTGATTATAGTTTTTCACTGGATTTGCAGAGAGGGCTAGAGAGTGTTGATCATATTCTTCACATTTGAAAGGCATTCAGTTTGCATTATAGAGACATTATATATAAAGGGTTGTACAGGGAGATATCTGATACAGGGTTTGTGAAAAATATGTGTATTTGTATTTATCCCATACTTGGACATGTTTCAGGTACATAAAGCATGTTTGAAAAACTTATATTTTCATCAAATATATTATATTAGCCTTGGGATAATCCCAATATCCTGAACCTCATATAGGACAATCTCTATTTATGCACATATTTCCCTCAGGATAAATCCTGTATCCAAAAACCAGATATACAAACCTTTTTTTAGCAGGTGTTCTCATTAAAGGGTGTTTGTATTTCATATTACAAGTGTTCATATTAACTGTTTTGATCACTTTAAAACTAAATTCCATATTCTTTTTTTATTTTTTAGAGTCCTTACTTTTGGCCATCACAGAATTGGCAACCAGATAATGTAGACTATGGTATGTAATTTACATTATTATACATCATTATAAAATCCTACTTTTTGATTAGTTATTAGCTTCAAATATTTTATCATATCTAACTACAGGGTGGTAGATATTTTCATTAAATTCCATTTCTTTTTTTACCAAATGGTATTAAGTCAGAATTTTTCTGTTTTTGATTGAAATGATGAAAGGTTAGTAGCTCTATCTTTTTGAAACATATCAATATATTAAACCTAAGATCGTGAAATAATGAAAATAACTTACTAGTTTTAGAAAGGTGGCGCTCATAATTCACCTTTCTCTATGACTGTACAGAATATAACATTGCTATTGAAAAAATGTAGTCATGTATCAGGGGCGGATCTGGGAACCAATAGAGGGGGGGGGAAATTTCAGGCCAGAGAAAAATATTTTTTTCTGGGCCCACCCAAGGGGGGAGGGCAGGCCCCCAGATCCGCCAGTGTGTATTCTTTTGGAAAAGATTCTAGTATAATCTTATAAATATTTGTGTTTTCAGCCATTTATCTCGCTAAACGAACACTTCGAAACAAACAAAAACATGGCCTCGAAGATTATGAACATGTAAGTTGATATAAATACCATTCTGTAGGTATCTTCTGGGACCTTGATGTCCTGTTTATGTAGAGGTAATGGAACTGACCCCCCTCTCAATTTATTTTTCCATGGATGTAATTACAACTATTTTCCTTATGCCTTTATACTCAATCATGCAAGTAAATCTACAGAGGGGGAACAATCCCTAGAGGGCCATACATGTAATTCCCTTCCTCCAAATGCAGGTCTCCAGACATCATCCTTTACGTTCCTTCATTCCTTCGAGTTTTGGAGGCCTGTGTTCGGAGGATGCATATTTTTCCATGTGTTTCATGTATAAGTTAAAAACATTATAGCTTAACCTCCCGAATGATAAAATTATCTTTAAAACATTTACTATCATCTTTAAAACATTTTACAACATTTGCTATCTTTGTAGCAATTTTATTGTGCTGTTGCTATATTCCAGAGCGCATTTAACAAGCTTCAGAAAATGTTATGTGATAAATGGGAGTTCATATATATGCACGCAGAGGAGCAAGTCAGGTCAGTAATCATTTCACTTTGTTCATGTTTTTAATGCAAAATTTATAACTAAGAAATGGTGACTTGTCTTCATGAAAATAAGGGAAGAGCAGATGGTAAATATTATATTATAACATAAACAGATTCATAAATATTTTGTTTGTTGGAATTTGCTACTCCATTGGTTGTATAATAAATGTCACTTGTTTATGTTTTTAACGTAAAATTTATAACTTAAAATAGCTCTGATTGGATAGTGCTGAATGATATTATCCTTGACATGTTTGTTTTTGGTAGAACCTATGACGAAAAGTAAGGTGTCCTCTACCACAAATGTGTATGTATAGCATCATAATAGATATATACATGGAAATAAATATATTTCTTGATGTAGGTTAGCAAAGGATAGGAAGAAAGCTGACAAGGTTGTGCTAGACAGTCAAGAGAGAGCATTTTGGAGAGTCAATAAACCACCTGTGAGTTAAACCCTTTGTTTGATTAAGTCACTGGTGGATCCATGGGGGCCCAGAATGAATTTTGTAGGGCCTCAATTAGTGGGCCCTTTTGGGCATTACTTGGCCTTTTTAAGCCAAATAATTAAAAAATTGGGCTTAAATTTTCAAAGTTTGGGCCCAATTTTCTGATTTGAAATGTGGGCATCCCTAGTCCGCCAGTGTAAGTATATTTTTTTTTGCCATTTTGATGTGTTATATTTTTTATTTGTACAGTGGGACCTGAAAAATGGTGATCTGTTTTTATTCAAGCTCTCTTTATCATATTTAAAGATTTAAAACAGAACAATATGCCATTTTAGATAGTTTAGCTCGTGATAAGCCATATACCCCTGGGATGTCTTTATCACTATTATGTAAATATGTTTATATGATTTTAATAAATAAATAAATTAGAATTAAATGATGTAAAACACATGACAGTTGGATCTAAAATGTTGTTTATACAATGTAAATAGTAACTTTACTGTTGAATGTTGAGATTGTAAGAGAACATCACTACACCTTTGGAGGAATTTTCTATACTTCTTTTTAATTAAGCCTTGATTTGTTAATAATTCAAGCACATATCCAGACATCATACCAATTTTTGTTGAGGTTTTGTCATTAATAGCTCCAACATTATACAGGGTGGTCCAAAGAGATGTAAAGATTTTTATGTCACCAACACATCATATAGAGACATATTTGTTATAGTCTTTTGTGATTGGGGTCTGTAACAAATGGTGGTGTCATTTTGCATGTTTGTGCCTTGTTGATAAAGCAGCATTCTATATTCACCCTATGCAGACAGAGCCTGTGGGAAATATTGGGTGCGGCGCAAATGAGCGGAGGGTGCGGAGCTAACGGTCATTTTTGAATTTAAAATATCCCAAATTTAAATTCAAAAATGACCGTTAGCTCTGCACCCTCCGCTCATTTGCTCCGTACCCAATATTTCCCACAGGCTCTGTCTGCATAGGGTGTATATTGAAAGGAAAACTTTACAATTTCTTCATAGATTTTTTTCCTCATATACCACCATTTTGTGAGCTAAGCTTAAGGACAGGGTGCATGTTGGGAATTTTTTTGCATTCCCCAATTGAGTCACATGTTATTTTTCAAACAAGAATAACTCCTTCCCCAAATTGTCTACATCTTGCAGGTTTTCACAAAGAGTGCACTTCTGTGCCTAGAAAAGCCTTGTGAGAAGATTTGTTATGTAAAATGTATAAAAAACGAGAAAATTCAGTGAAAAAAATTTCTGAAAATTTTCTAAATTTTTTCACTGAATTTTCTTGTTTTTTATACAATTTATCAAAACATTCTTCTCACAAATCTTTTCTAGGCACATAAGTGCACTCTTTGTGCAAAACTGGAAGATATAGACAATGTGGGGAAGGAGTGATTCTTGTTTGAAAAATAACATGTGACTCAATTGAGGACTGCAGAAAATTTCCCATCATGCACCCTGACCTTAATAGTTTATAATGTGCTTGATCCAAGCTCTTTGGCACTGCATCCCGGGACTGCATCACTGGCTACTTGCACATTGAAGTTTGTAATGATGCTGAACAAACTGAATATGTGCTTTTAGGCTCAGGTTCAGCCTCATGAGCATCATTTTCCCTTTAGTGTGTAGAAAGTCATTGTTTGGTGCATGTTTGGTTTTAATGCCATTATAAAGCCATACTGGCTTGAGGATGCTGATGAGCATCCAGTAACTGTGAAAACGCAGTGATACTTTGAACTGATGAGAGAAAGCGAGGAGTGAACATAGATACTGTGATGTATCAGCAGGGTGGAACAATACTGCATTACTCCCAAGCTTATTCGGAATACCTCCATCATCTCACGTCAAACTGATCATCCTTGGCCTGGATACTCCCCAGTCCTATCATCTTTGGATTATTTTTTGTGAGGATACCAAAAAGATAGGGTTTATGTCTACCCCCGTAAATGTGGAGTTGATTTTTCAAATCACCCCCACAACTACTTGTGTATTGAAATCCCCAAATAACATTGAACAGAGATGTTGTACAGGGCTTTTTCAAACTTAACACATTATAACTGTTAAGCTGCGCTTACTTTTAAAGGGTATTTCCGTATCTTACATATTTTACACTCTAAGACAGAGCCAGAAACCCCTCCTTGGAGGAGCCCTCTGTTCTTTTGTGTGCACAGGTACAACACAGACATACAAGTACACACCTCAGCCTTTTATACGAGTTGTGAACCACTCAGTCAAACACCCAGAATTACATAACACACAAACAAACTTGTCTGAACCGGGAATCGAACCCAGGCCAAGCGATAGTGGTAACCTTGACTCTGCCACTGAGCCATAGTGGATGGACTAGCAAATCAAACGCTTGTTTCTGGTGTTGCTCACTGTTTAGTATAAAAGGCCCGATCCTGGAATAATACTCAAGGGTTCATCACAGGCTCGAGGTCGTTGTGTCAACACAAATCAATTTCACATTTATGGGTGAAGTTTCAGGATCTTCTATTTGATGTGTATAATTAGGAGAAATTGACATCTAAATCTCCCCATAACGTACACAGCTTGGTATATGAAATATCTTCCAAATGAAACAAAGCAGTTCTCGTACAAGAATTTATTTTGGCTGCTGTACATGCATTCTTTGAACAATCACTCTCTGAATAATGTTTTCAGAATCATTATAATGCAGTACTTTATCTCCAAGACAATTTTAATAAATTGGATTTTACAAAACTCCCTTTATTTCTTCAAATGGACTGATCCAGTTGACTTGGCTGGAGCCACCATATTGTTTTTATACAGGAAGCTTATCGGAACCCTTTAAGCATATTATACTTACAATCTAATAGGTGGCCATTTTCAAAAATGGCAGCCATATTTGTTTGATGGGATTTGCTACGCCTTGGAGAAGAACAGAGTAGAACTTTCAAATTTGACAGATAGCTGCCTTGTGTCTTCGCTTCAAATGCAAAGGCCTCAGATGACTTAATATGTATTTATTTTTTTAATTTTGGTTTATTCCATTTTAATATTACTTTTACAGCACAGTATGATTGCCTAGATTTTGCAAAATAAGTGGCAATTTTAAAAATGACTAATACCAGCATTTTTTGTCCCTGTTTCAAATGATGTGAAGGCCTACCATACTGAACTCTCATTGACTTTAACATTTCAGGTATATTATTTAGATCTCTGCTCATTGATTTGTCACATCTAGCTCCAGCATTATACGTATAACCCCATTCTGATACTCATAGCATCTCTCTCTGTTGCATCGCAGAAGAAGAATAGAGATGGAAAGGGCGTGGCTTACCACGGTGGTATAACCCATGTGTATATACAGTCACATGTCTATATAAAGTCACATGTCTATGTCACATGCTTAAATTGGTGGAAATTCTGATATATCTCAAATGTCTGTCTTTTATTATCTGAAAATAAGGGTGACATAGACACTAACATAGACTGTGTTAAAATATTACTATCTTTGATGCCTTCACCTAGATAATTATCTCATAAATTAATGATAGCGCTTACCTCATATAGATAAGTACCTTTCTAGTATAATAACATGATGACTCATGCAAAGATCGTAATCATCAATAATTATAAAGCCTCATGTCCCAGGTAATTAGCTACAAACACCCAAATGATATATATACACAGAATTACAAGAAAGTGGTGACTGGGAATGATGCCATCATAGTTCAGTCCAAGACCTGTATATATACAGTAGTAGTAGTACGTGACTAGAGATTTGCAGTTTTGCATACATTTTGTGAACTAACACAATATGGCTGCACAGGATATTTATGATGTCAGTCAGACTAGTGTTTTCAAGATATTGTGTGAGAATACACACTGGGTGTGTTTATTCTTTGACACAGAGATACCATTGAAAGTAAGTTGATATTTTTTATGTGTAACAATAACTTGTTGTTTTTTAAATGCTGATGATGAGGGATGAGATTTATTATTTTCATATTTTAACATTCAAATATTTGGCTAATTATGTATACAGGGTTATCAAAATCAGGTAAAAATCCGGGGATTTCTGAATTTCCTAAAAAATGGTCAGGGAATCTTTCAAATTCTGCTAAAAGCCAGGGAAAAGTTACGGAATTCTAAGTGAGTTTAAATGAATGAATTACTTAAATCATCGATCGGTAGTTGGTGTATGTAACAAATTTTTAAAACTTCCAATAACTTAACAATACTGTTTACACTGACTTTTTTAAAAATCATCTAGTTTTCTCAAGGTCAAAAAAGGTCTATTTTCAACATGTTTCAAATTGACCAATTTTTTTCAAAATCATCTATAAGTTCTCAAAAGTTCAAATCTGACTATAGATTTGACCTTCAATGATGTTCTCAAGGTCAAAAAAATATTTGACCTTCAATGACCTTCTTAAGGTCAAAAAGATCTTTTTTCAACTTGCTCCAAATTGACCAATTTTTTCAAAATCAAAAGTTCTCAGAAGTTAAAATCTGACTTTAGATTTGAAATTTCACCTTTAATGGCCTTCTCAGGGTCAAAAAGGTCTTTTTTCAACTTGACTATTTTTTTCAAAATCATCTACAAGTTCTCAGAAATTTAAATTGACTTAAGATAGAATTAATAATATTGTGATGCCTTGTGTCATCGTTGTTGTGATTTGTTAGTTTTTATTATGTCACCACCACAAGTGGTGACATATTGTTATTGTCTCTAACTTTTTTGTGGACAGCATTCAGCAGTTGGCATCTCTAACAAATGGCAGGTGGTGACATTTTGCATGTTGATACCTTGTTTAATTATGTTCTTTCAATGGTTTATATTTTTTACAGAGGATTCTTTTTTTATTTCACCACCACAAGTGGTGACATATCATTATAGTCTTCAATGTTTTTGCGAATGGTGTTTGGAGTTCAGTTGTTGGTGTTTGGGAGTCTGTAACAAATGGCAGGTGACATTTTGCATGTTAATTCCTTGTTAACCTTTTGATTTTTAGCACATGTTTGTTATATTTTATTTTATAATGTTTTACAGCCTGGTAGCATTAGACTGGGGGAAGAGGGGGTCAGAAGGAACCACAAACCATCTCAGATGAATCTCCGCAAGAAGAAAAATTGCGAAAGCTATAAAAAAGAGGTGACATTTATCAGCATTTTAATTGTATTGCTTTGCAGTTCTGCATTATAAGCCAAAAGTAAACACGTTAATAAAAAAAAAATTGGCACTAAATTTGTTTGCTACAAGCAAAAAATAATGTATATAGTATATACAGGTAAAATGATGGAAGAAAAACCTACAAACTCGCATACCTATCAATAAAAATTAAAGTGAGCTTTAAAATTTTGATATTAGCATCTTTTGACAACCTGCTGTCCCCATACAAAAATAATGAAAATTTGTCTTCCTTGTTTTTAAATTTGGTGTAATTAAAGTTTAGAAAAGTGAGTGATTCTTTTAAGTCTTGAAGATATTGAGATCTTAGGGTACAGGAAAACATAACATGAATGGATGGTTCATTGCTACAGCCACATTTACATGTAGGGGATGGTACATTGGTGAAGTTGTGAGCGTAAAGTTGTGAGTGAAAGATCAGTGCGCAGCACACTTTATTCATAGAAATTTCTTGGCTCCTTGTTCGGGAAATCTCAGAAGAACTAATGATGTTGGTTGTCTGAAATTTTCTTGTTAGATCAGATTTAAAATTGTTTGAACTTAATGATTTCTTGAGGTCAGGTGGAAGAGAATCCCAGTCTATGATGAATTTAAAGATGCGCGATCTATTTGAAAATGTTGACATCTTCACAGTAAGTTTGTAGTGTTACTATTGTATGATTTCCACGGTATTGATTGAAGATACTCAAAACATTGGATCGAAGCATATTATTGTGAACCCGGTGCATTAAGATAAGCCTATGCATTTGTCTTCTATCAGATAACGATGGCCAATTTAAGCAGTTTAAGACTTTTGTTGAAGAAGTTCCATGTAGTACACCTGAGCAAATACAGGGTGCTTTGTAGTATAGTTGATCAATGAGTTTCAACCATTGAAAAATTGCATTAAGATCAGATTGTCAAATTTTGTCATTTTCAATAAAGGTTTGATTTGGAATATGGTTGGTAAAGAGGTGTATCATCTGCGTAAATATAGCATTTGCTTGATAAAGTTTTCCGGGAGGTCATTTATATATATCAGAAAAAGTAGAGGTCCCAAAATAGAGCCTTGTGGAACGCCAGCATTTATATAATGTTCATCGCTTAAAACAGATTTTTGACCATCAAGAATAACTTTGGCTTGTCTTTTTGAGAGATAAGATGTTAAAAGTGAAAAAATGCTAGGCCCAAATCCATTTTCAAGATTTCATTTGTACATGTGTATTGCTAGCACATTGGATAGCAAGTGGGAGGGATTACGTGTTTGGCATGGTTACGGACATGTAATTAAGTTCACACATGTATGGCAAATTATATAAATACGCATTAAGATATAAAGTGTGCGTATGTGCATTTAGATATGAATAACATTAAAGTATCACGTGAATAATGGTGAATAAAGTATTACTCATATATGATATCCCTGGCAAGACGCAAAGTAGGCCTTAGCTATGGAAAATACACCTATGTGATTTGCTTATCATTTACTTGCAATACCTGTGTGTCTCAGGTTGCAAGAACACTGGAATGCATTTTCGTATAATCCACATCAGTACTGTGCTATTCCGAATATAAAGCATTTCAGTAAATCTCCATTCTATAACACATAGTAACCCTCAATATAATATCTATTTTATATGTACATTTTCCCGTTTTTATAAAATATATATTTCTAGTCTTGTATATTTCCAGATAGACTACCTACAACAGTGTACAACAAGACCTAAAATGAAGACCTCAAAAGCAACAGAGAGGTAATGTTTAAAAAAATGAATTTAAAAAATAGTCAACCTGTTCAAGTCAATAATATTTATGATGAAAATAGTCATAAGTTAATTATTAACATGTTTGTACGTATGTAGTGCACATGAACTTTAATGGTTGGGGACATATTTCAAGAAGAGTTCAGAATTTTCAAGTTGCTTTCTTACCATTATATATTTTTCCCTTTATGGTAGATCTAGATTGTGCAATTTAGGTGATATGTTTGGTCCAAAATTAGAGATATACCACACATTCTTAGTAACTCTGTTGCTAAGTAGTATAATTGCAAAACGATTAATAATGCCTTAGTGTTTGCCTGATTTTGAAGTCTGGCTCAGTTCTGAATCAAATACTATCAAAGCTAAATTGATTATTTTTGATATAGTTGAAATTAAATTGTAGTTTGTTGGCAAGATGTGAGCAGTTTAGTGAACATGACCCCTGGTTGGGTGGGGCTCAACCATCGAACCCCTGGGTGACAGAAGACACAACTATGTGGATGCTCAACACAGTGTTGTAAGTAGTGCTCAAAATGTTTACTGTTTTAGTAACATTACATGTATCCAAAATCAAAAAAATTGTACAGACATTTTTTCAAGAGATACCATGAAGCTGAAGTTGAATTATTATATTGCCTCAATTTTGCCTCACCTAGTTTTCAATGACATATTGTTGTTATTATGACACGACTGTGGTGACATTGTTGTTGTCATGACACGAGTGTGGTGACATATTGTTGTTGTTATGACACGACTGTGGTGACATATTTGTTGTTGTTATGACACGACTGTGGTGACATATTGTTATTATGACACGACTGTGGTGACATATTGTTGTTGTTATGACACGACTGTGGTGACATATTGTTGTTGTTATGACACGACTGTGGTGACATATTTGTTGTTGTTATGACACGACTGTGGTGACATATTGTTGTTATTATGACACGACTGTGGTGACATATTGTTGTTGTTATGACACAAGTGTGGTGACATATTGTTGTTGTTATGTCACGACTGTGGTAACATATTGTTGTTGTTATGTCACGACTGTGGTAACATGTTGGTATAGACTTTTTTGTGGATGGCAGTTGGTGTTCGGATGCGGTGATCAGTGTCTGTAGCAAATGGTGTCCGTAACAAAGGGCAGGTGGTGACATTTTGCATGCTAATGTCTTGTTCATCCTGGCTACATTTCCCCTGTTATCAGTTAGATATAAAATTAATTTTCATGCTATTTTGGTGTAATTACATTACGTCAAGCTAGTATATTTAACCTAGTTGTTAAAATTAATAAAGATGACATGGTTTATGATGACGCAGTAGGTTCACTTACTATGACTCACGCTTGATAAAAGTGGATAACTATTGTCATTAAGAACATGCCGTGTCATTTGTGATAACAATACATGGATTGTTATGTCCAGGAGTGAGTTTTTAAAGGTGCCTTGTTTGACCATCCTTCATTCAAAGGACTTCATTTATTACTCAATAGTATAGTTTCCATATAGCTTTTGAAGCACGTTTAATCACAACATGTTCATAAACAGGGTCATCATGTGGTATATCATTCAAGTTTTATACAGATTCAACTAACACTCTTTGATAAATCATGAAATTAAGCCACTTTTCCAAGATTTTAGCATGTAAGTGAAGGGAACTCTAGCCCAAGTAAAAAGCTGAATAAAAGATGGCAGCACAAGATTTCATTGCTTTTTCTGCTATTTAGAAACTATCCTATTCAGCCATTCATGCAAGGCCAGGTAGTTTCATTTTAGGGGTAATAAATAAGCTGAGTTTCCTAGTGGTCAATGCAGAAAATGCGTTCTCCAATCATAATGTTGTATACATAATTCAATAGGGATGTTTTGTCCTCCCTCCGTTTACGACCCCTAATGAGATGCAAATTACTCATAAATTGGATTCTTAACAAGAAATGCTTGCAGACTTGGGCAATAAACTCATTAGTGAATATATAATACTTGTTTATCACTGTGAACATCTTTGCAAAATCTTTGTTGATTTTGACCCTTGATTAAGCAACATCTGTTCTGATTGGCTGGTACTTGTGGGCATAAATAGGGGGACAATGTTTTACTTTTGGAGACCTGATTTTCCGTCCGCTTTGCATTACCATTCACTTACATTCAGGGGTGTAGCTAGCTTTCAGTTGGGGGGATGTGATTGCCAATTTTAGGTTTTTTTTAGTCGAGGGTGGGGGGTACTAAAAAAAATTTGGTTTCCAGTCAGGGGGGTGGGGTCATGTGGCATATGTAAGGCAAAAAAGTATTTTTAATTTTTGTTTAAAATTTTACAAAAATTGATGAATTTTCCTTCAAAATTGAGCTAGAAGCTTCAAATAAAAAGCATTTTAAAGCTATTTTCTTCGACCTAATGGTTCTATTTTTTATTGGTTATGAGGGGGGGAGTGCACCCATTGCACTCCCCTGGCTACGCCTATGTACAGGTGTAGCATTATTACATTCAAGTTTTATTATTATCACTCAATTTGCATTGTTACCATCACATTTTATTATTACCATTTAGTCAACATTATTACTATCAAGTTGTCCCAATCAGTCTTGTTAAAAAGGAGATTGTGTATTTTTCAGGGTGGACAGCCCAACTGAGAGACGTGTCAAAAGATGGGGCTTCTGCTTCAATGAACTGCTGTCAGACGCCACAGGAAAACATGAATTTGAGGTTTTTCTGAAAAAAGAATTCAGTCAAGAAAATATCTGGTTTTGGTTGGCGTGTGAAGATTTGAAATATTCACCAAGTAGTAAAGTCCAAGAAAAAGTTAAAGCAATATATAGGTATGTACCTTCAAATTCTCAATAAATTCTGGTGCCAGGCATCATGATTGGTAGAGAACCCAAATTGAGTTCATATTGTACTATTATAATGAAGCCATGTTATATTTGTACTTGAAAAATGATGATGACAAAGTACATGTACTCATAATTATTTAGACAGTCATTTTACAAGGATTTATTGAAGATGTTTTGATTGTTCACTGATACTCACTCGTATCAGCATTTAGTGTCTATAAATGTTTGTATCCTATTGTAAAGAAATACTAGAAATGTGAGATAAATAATCCAGTTATGTTTCAGGGAATTCCTGGCTCCTGGTGCGCCTTGTGAGATTAACATTGATAGCAAGACCATGGAGAAAACCCAACAGAATTTACAGTCACCTTCAAGGTCAGTCAGAAATTAGAACACATTTTTCACATTTTTCTCTTAAAAATTCTGAATGAAGTATTTAAGGTTATGCATTTCTAATCAATTTTGAGTGTTGCCTTCATAGATAATATGTTTATTATATTGGAAATGCACTAATGTTTACTGAATTTGTAAAAAAATGATATCCGTTCTCACTTGACATTTTTCTGCTTTTAGGTTTACGTTTGATGAAGCTCAGGCCCACATCTACTCCCTTATGAAGAAGGATAGTTATGCCAGGTTTCTACGTTCAGACCACTACAAGTCTTTATTACTCAATGCTCTACAACCCAATTCTATTAAGAAAAAGTAAGTTGATGTATTGTTTGTGGGGTCTTTTTACACTTAATAGGTTTCGTATGTGAGAAGGGGTCTCATGGAGATCTATCCACCTATAGCAAGTTTATGTATAGTATGTAAATAATACATACATGGCATGCAAATAGACTTCGTGAAACCTTTGCTTAAAAAGGTAAAAAGTGACTGCATATATGGGTTTAGGGGTATTCGTATAATTTATTCATAGCTCATATCCAGAGAAAGGCCATCACGATGTGAATGTACGGACTTGCTTGCAATATGAAGTGTTATTTGTATGTCAAAGAGAGTCAAAGTGTGCTCTCACTGTTTCTCAGACCTTTTTCAGGCTGTAATACTATACATATATTTTATATCATGTTAAATGTTGTAAAAGCATTTTAATCTTGTCTCTAGGTTCTCATTAGCCAACGTATTTCAAACGATGGGTCGGAGAAAAAAATCATCCCCGATGTTGCTACGGCAACGTAGTCACAGTTTTAATGACCTGAATGCTGGGTGAGAAGCGAACGTCTGCCTGTTTTTGGATATTAATCACCACACTAGATTTTAATGAAATGCTCATCACATTAGAATATATTTTTATTGTTAATTATATTACATTTATATTTTTTGGTGAAAATTTTGCTTCACATTTATTGTTTGATTTCAGCTTTTTTACAAAATTGTCCAATTATTAACCCCTATAGTGCTGGAATGTTCTGTCAATTAACCCTTCAAGTGCTTGAAATATACTATAGTTTAGAAACATCAATACAATAATTTCCAAGAAACACATTAGCTGATTTCCAAGAAACACATTAGCTGATTTTGTAGCTTTAGACCATTTGTGATGCCAGAAAAGCATATTCATTGATGATTAAAAGCATGTTTATATTTGAGACTTGGCCTGGCCCATGTGAATTTTTTGCTAAATGGAAATCAAGCTGCATGAAAAATAAAATTACAACTCTCTGACTAATTCAGAGATTTCTCTGACTAATTCAGAGTACAGAGGCTCTTGGATATTTAAAATATTATTTCTTCTCTATAATCTTCAATGTCTTTGTGAATTATGTCCTTGTGAATCAAGAGTGATTTACTTTCTGTTTGACATGCTATGTACCAATTGTTGAACTTATTTTTAAAGTGACTTTTTTAGTCAAAATATACTATATAACTAACATGTGGATGTGGATGATTCAATTTGGATTATTGATGTACCTACTATCAATGAATTCCCTACATCTTAACCATTTTGATTTTAAGCCAGTCATTAAAACTGTTTCATTAGATTATGATCAGACCATATGTATAGCTATTAACCAGAACTCATCATACCGTGAGCTTCCTCTGCAATATCATAGCTAAGGGAAGGGGGCTGTAGTATGAGTAAACCTGATGGTGTACATGTATTTAGCTCACTGCTCAACCCAGAGCATGAAATGCTAACAATATGATGAGGCTGGTCAGTATGTATGCATGCATGAACATCACATGTTATGTTTTTCTCACCCTTAATATTGGTAATTATTTGTAACGAAAAACAATTTATAACTGAGGATGTTGCAATTCATAATTAAGGATATTACAATTTATAATTGAGGATATTGCAATTCATAATTAAGGATATTGCAAAAACACTTAACATCAACATCTGTTGAACCATATAGTTTTTTGGGGGATTATTTTATACAACCCGGTGACGACGGAAAAGCAATTTTTGAATGATCATGTGTTGTATTCCTATATCTGATTGGCTCTCTTCCTTTGTAGATCACATTGGCAACAGTTGCGAATAGCAAGATCTGGGTAACCAATCAAAACAACATGGCAGTCACGTTTCTTCTTTCACTTTTCACTTAAAAGAGAAGAATTATCAAAAAATTAACTACCAAGCATGGAGAACCATATATATTTACATGCAAAACTTTCAGCCACTTCATTCATTCAAAAATTTTAAGGGTGAAATAAGAAAAACTTGACATCCATGAATTATTTTGGACAAGGAAATGTCATGTGAATGTAGTCTTATAACATTAACAAGATGTGTAATGTATACTTAAGGGGGATTCATGTCATATAAGTACACACAAATAAAATTTTCTTGTGTTTTGTGTTTACAAGCAAACTTTGCAAACACCATTAAGAAATGACAGGAACTCGAGGAAAAATTTAAAAAAAGAAATATGAATGGAATGGAACGATTTTATTGATGTGTACTTCAACAGACAGGTGTTCAAGATATTCACTCCATATACACTCATCTTTATATAAGATTGGAAAACCCATAAATCATGCACCTCATCTTCAGTTTGCAATATTGGTAAGGCAGAAGTTATTATGGGATTATTTTCTTTTGGCCATGTGCAAAGACTTAAACTTCATTTCAAAAACATAAAGCATTACATTGGGAACTTTATTTATGATTAATGGCTGATCATTATTACAGAGCACGCTTAAAAGGCATGTGAATATAACACGCTATTAAAAGAATGGTCATAGCATGCCAGTAAGCATGACACAAAGTGATTCACTTACACGCTAAACTTCAACTGGAATGCTTATGAAACACAAAATAACCAAGTGTACGAAAAACTGTCTAGCATGGCTATTCACTGAGAAAAATAACAAAAATTGATGATTTTTAATAAGTGAACATAACAATAAATTGATATCTGATGTAAATGTGAGAAAATATTTTAGGGGAGAGTTAAACGGCCACATACATTTGCTTTGCGTAAGTTGATAATTCCTGGGAATTCAACAAATTGAATCCACAAAACAAAATAATATTATGTCCCATAGAAGATTCTTGAAATTTTTCACTCTCCCAATTGTTCTTTGAATGAACCTCGATGCAGCCTATTGACAATACATGTCATGGCCCTGTCTCAAACAACTGTGTACCTCCTAACTTAGGTTAAAAACACCAATCATCTCTTGCATTATGAGGTGGGAGGGAGGATCATATTTTTCATTAATTGATATCCATCTTTTCCATTCTGATGTTAAGGTGATTTTCTAAGACGTTCTTTATTCTTGTCCATTTCATTTATATATGTCGTAACTATACTGGTGTTAACATCTTATGTCCAGGTTTCAATTTTTACCTTTTACTAAATCCATAATTGGGGTTCTTCTGTATTAGTGTTAACGTTTTGACAAAAGGTAGTAGTCTCCTTCTCAGAAAGCTGTTTGCTTGGGTGATCCATAGAGAATGAGATGGTGCTATTGATGTCCAGTGTTATCAGAAAAGATTCAGTTATTCTTTGCTTTTTTTGTCAGGGGACTCTCAAAAGAGAATATGTTTATGTAATTTTCCATCTGTTTCCATCTTAATTTGAATATTTTAACCAAACAATATGGTAGAACAAGATTTTTTCTACCATATTGTTTAACCAAACAATATGGTAGAACATGATTTTTTTACCTCTAAATGTACATATTTTATAAAAGGTTTGAGTGGGGATTGACTATAGGGTAATGGATAAGCCAAGGTGTCCAAAAAAGGAGGAAGAATCCTTTAGAATCACAGTTAGCTTTATCTGTGCTTGATATTTGGTTGTTTCATAACCACTGGCTGCTGTGTGTACTAATATGACAAAGTCTGGTGCAATATACAAGAATTTATGTGTATTATATGCAGGCCTGTCAACTGTCCCGCAATTTGCGTATTTGTCACGCATTTGCTGAAGAATTTGAAGTCACGCCAGTTTTTTTTGCGTGACAGAAAATGTCACGCAAAATACGCATTTTACCTGGTAATTGTCAAGCAAAAATATTTCTGTAGAAATTTTTTCGAAATATGTTTACGATACGGTAAAAATACGAACGCTGGAAAAAACCGAACGCAATTTGTTCGGATTTGTCACGCGAATCCCGTATGTGTCACGCATGTTCATCGGAAATTTTTCGTACCTACCCCCCCCCCCCCCCCCCCCCCCCCGTTGACGACAACGGTAGCGTAGCGAGCGCGAAAAATTGGAGGTGTTCAAAGTTTGGCAAAGGTGCTCAAACTTTGGCCAAAGGTGTTTAAAAGTTGGCCAAAGGTGTTCAAAATTTGGACAAAAGTGTTCAGATTTGGACTTAGGTGTCCAACATTTTGAAGTCACTCATATTAGGTGGTCCCAAGTTGACAGCCCTGTATATGAGAATGTATAGCATTTGATCTGGTGTACAAATTGAAAGACCCCTTTTTATAGACTGATAACAGCAACAAGGAGTAAATTATTGACAGTGTTTACTTAGTAAATGTTCATATTGATGAATTTATAGATCTGTATTTTCATTGTGTGCTTTTATTCTAGAGTGCTCCTCTCAGTGAAAAAATGTTGCTTCCGTAGATTTGAAATACATGTCGAAAAGAATTTCTGATGCTCGTTACATCTTACAGTAGAAACTGGGAATTTTGGGCTGTTTAGGAAGAGCCTCTCTCTGTTGTTTTTCTGCAGATTTTTGAAGTCCTTGTGTGTCTTTTACTGTTCAATGTGTGTCAAAATGGGTGTCTGTCCAAAGTTTTAATTAAGGTAGCAGTTAAATAGAAGTTTTTGCTTATGTCCTTCAAAAATAATGAAAGTAAACAAAGAAAATTTTAAGTTATAGGTATAGTTACAATTCAATTAGAAATCTAAATAAATGTTGAGATTGAATCAAATCATTGCAAAATACTATTAACATGAATGCTTATTATAATATAATAATTATCCTTCTTGGATCTAAACTACCATTGCTTTTACTTTGAAGTCATGTTTTTGATGTTTTCAATAAAATCAAATAGCTGACATATTTGAAAAGCAATGTTCATAATAGAATAATAATAGAATAACATATACATGCAGTAGATTCAAATTGAAATTTCAGTTCATATACTATTTTCATTACCATTGGATTTTCTGGATCAAGGAAGAAACATTTTTCCTAAAATACAATGTAACAATGTATATACTTCAAGATTGTGTTAATGTATGAATTGATTTTAACATGATTTATTATCTTCCAGGGTGGATGCTTTCTCATCATCAAGGTATTGATATTACACACAGATGCATGCTTACCAATATCACTCTTTCCTACCTCATATTAGGGGTTACATAGGAGAGTGTGTATATGGAACAAGTTACTGATACCGTCTCAGTCATAACCAAAATTCATGTTTTCTATGTCACCATGTTATGATCTTTTTTTCACTTTTTTTATGGAAAGTGTTTGGCATTCAGGGTTGATGTTCAGTTTCTATAACAAATGGCAGGTGGTGACTTACCCAAAATTCATGTGTTTTTTATGTCATTTGTGACATTTTGCATTTGAAATCCTTGTTTTCAATTGTCCCTCATTTACTCAATGTTGACATGTTTGATCAAATCAATTAGCATGCATACTTATGTTGGACATGCGCTGAAATCTCAGGATCAATCCTAGAAAAATTAAAGCTCAGCTCTTGACTTAGTTCGCCTTAATCGATATTGATATAGAAACTGTAACTACAAATATGAATTTCAGGTTTTTCAACTTTGGTGGAAGCAGCAACAATAACAAACAGAAGGCTGGTGGTCAGAAGTCTCCAGTCCCAAGCCCAAGTCCTAAAAGAAGAGGGAGCACAAACAGCGATATTGTCCTTGCGGGTCCTCGAATTCTGTCCCACCATTCATACAGTACAGGGAATCTTCAGCAGTTGGATCCTGACACCCCTCCTAATGTTCCTGGCAGGTATGTTGTCACCCCTTTATCTGTTCTGGTAAATAACATGAACTCATCGAGAGGAGGTGGTCCAGAGAGTAGATTATACATGAGCACGTAAAGCATTTGTCTAATATTGGTAACACACCTCCAGTGAAACTTTTCTCACTTACAGTGTTTTGTATCGAGCATACATGTTTATTCACTCATCTAAGTTTTCTTTATGTTGAATTCATGAATTCTGTGAGTGCAATTGGAAAATTCCGCAATTGAATAAGGCCAAATTCACAGGATTTCATATGGAGAATAAAACAACACTGAAACAAATTGAAATAATCATTTTCCTTTTTGGGCTACTTATAGGAACCCCTTACTAAAAATCCTATGAAATTGCATTCATTCAACCCTTCAGAAAAACTGTCAGTTCTGTTAGAATTTATCAAATTTCAGGATTTTGCAAATCAGCAGGTCAAGGTAACCACTCTAAAATTGAAACCTGAGAAGAGTGTATATTTCTTCAAATTATTAAGTTTGGAGACTAAAAATACTAATTTTATTTTACAGCGTACCATCACAACCATCTTAAATGTTAAGTTAAGGTATTCAAGTTTCCAAATTTGTGTAGATTACTTCATTATCATTCAGCCCTTACAAATCTGGTCCATTCCAATATATGTTTCATGATTTGTTTCGTATTATTGTTTCCTGTATAGCATTAAATTAATAATGTTAATTCCAAGTTGAAGGCCTTGTGCCACTACCATCTAATGGAACAAATTGTAAAGGCTAAAGATCAAAAATTTCATGAAAACTTTCTACAGCAGGGAAATTTGCAATACAAGCAATATTGCAATCTGACATGATTTTAAAGATAAAATCAAAAGAAATTCCAGCATGAAATTTTTGAACTTTATTTTCATTCATTGGACATGTTTATTCATCTTTGATTCTTCTTTTATGTGTCTACGTTTTTCTGTCATGTCCTAGGCTTGTCTAGCTCTGATCACTGGGCAACACTTCATATTCTTTATCTTTATTGGATTGGAGACATGGCTTATCTTAGTCTGATGCATCATGGGGCAATGCTTATCTTATAATGCATTGCGGACATAGCTTGTTTTCTTCTGATGCATTATGTACAATCTTGTGATGCATTATGGACATCATTGTGTTGTTCTGATGCATTATGGGTCAGTACTATCTTGTGATGCATTATGGACATCCTTGTCTTGCTCTTATGCATTATGGGTAAATACAGTACTTATCTAATGATGCATTATGGACATCCTTTTCTTGTTCTGATGCATTATGGGTCAGTACTATCTTGTGATGCATTATGGACATCCTTGTCTTGCTCTTATGCATTATGGGTAAATACCTATCTAATGATGCATTATGGACATCCTTTTCTTGTTCTGATGCATTATGGACTAGTACTATCTTGTGGTGCATTATGGACATCCTTGTCTTGCTCTTATGCATTATGGGTAAATACTTATCTAATGATGCATTTCAGACATAATGCATTTGACATGACCTAGGTTATTCTAATGCATTGATGGACATGACCTTAATTATTCTAATGCATTGTTGGACATGACCTTGATTATTCTAATGCATTGTTGGACATAATCTATACCTCCCCGATCCATTGTTAGACATAGCCTGGGGTGTTCTAGTACATTTTAGACACATTTTCCCTTTTCTAATAATGTAATGCTAAACAGCAGTGCATTATTGAACATACTAATCTTAATAATTCTCTTCATAAGATACCTTCTTTCATTTTCTTGTACCCCTATTTTAATTGGCTAGTTTCTATGCCTACCATGGTCGCCAAGTTTTGTCCATACTAATAAAGAGCCATTGCTAGTTTAGTTCAGTTAACACAACTAAGACCACGGACTGTCCAAAAATTGTTAAATCTTTTTGATGACATCATAGAAAAATTGCATATTGTGCTCAAATGATCTATTTATATCTGGGGATGACTTGCCAAAATCAGGGGTCAGTATGTAAACAAATAAAATAAAGAAATCCCCCAAAAATGTATTTTACAAAAAATGTATCGTACTATTGTGTTATTAAAGCTAAGTTCACACCAACGGCAAAGCTGCTTTGCATGCTGCATTAAAGTGCCATCAAAGCGCCGTTACTTTGCTTGCCGCATTAAAGCACCATCAAAGCGCCGTTGGTGTGAACTTAGCTTTAAGGATTTAAGCACAAGAAGTTATTCATTCATTATATGTGGAATAATGCAGAGTTAAATTGTATGCACAGTTAGGATTGAGCCTACAGGGCAAGTGTTTTGGCTATCATGCATTTGAGTGTGTATTGCCACATTTAATGGATATTTTCTTGTGCTTTAGTCCTTATTTTACACATGATGAAACATAGAGAAATAAAATTGAATTGTTGCATTTTTGCTTGTCATGAGATAATATTATGCCTAGTGCCTAGTTATGTGTGATACCAGTGTATTATTATGTTTATTAGCCAGGTATTGATATAAAAGGTTTAAATGTAATTTCAATGTTTAGCTTTGAATATCTTCTTGAATATACATGTACTAACATCTTTACTTGAATATGTATGTATCTTCACCTTATTAATATCCTTTCTTATGCAGACAAGTTCCAGCAGAAAATGGGTACGACTCAGTTGCTTTATATTTTAATGATCATGCAGAAAACATATTTGCTCATGCTTCTTTGCAGAGTGCATTACAAGAATTTTAGATCAAAATTACTTGGTGATATTTCATGATATTTTGCTATACATGCGACTGTGTGTACACGCTGAAATTGATACCTGGTATTGTTACATAAATTAATTGGCCTATGACCAGGGAGTTTTAACCCAAAAGACACCCTTGCACCCCTGGACATACAGACATAGCTTGAGCCTGAAATGTCTCGATGTCCCAGTTGATCAGTTCTTTTACTGCACTCTTTTTGCTCTTTTTGCAATGTAGAAATAGTCAGAGGAAATTTAATGAGGCATTTGAATATAGCAGGCATGAATTGTACATTTTTTAATTTAAGGGCATTTTGTGTACATATGCCAGTGCTCTCCCCACGATTTTTGTGTGGAGGATTTTGCTGTCTTTTTAAAATAACATTTTTAAGGCTGCAGAGATTTCAATGTGAGGAGAGCCCTGTCATGTTAGGGGAGGCATCAAAAGATCAATGTCTGATAGAAAACTAAATAAATCCGTTTGCTATCCGACAAATGTCAACATTAAATTTTTTGCAATTTCGACTCGAAATGCCTTGGATTGGTTTAAAAATAAAGACTTCTTCACAAAGATGCATTCAACATGGAATATTATGCTTATTGTTGTTGGCACATGTTTTAAGAATCATAAATAAGTTATAGTACTGCCCCTATGAAAGTCCAAATTGAGTCGCTAAAACATGTGAAAGTCCACGATCAACTTTCATTGCATTTAGTTTTGAGGGGGAGGGGGTCCAACTCAAAACTAGATTTATTTAGTTTCCTATCAGACATTGAACTTTTGATGCCTCTCCTTATACAAAATACCCATCCACCACAGATTACAGTCTAGCTCACAGCCACATGAAAACATGACCAGTAATGTAATGACACCATGAAGTGAATGGGAGGTCACTTCAGATTGTTGAGGCATTCCTTGAGCTGTGTGTTTCGAGGGTCATAAATTCCAAGTTTCAAAATATCCAGAGTGTGAATGCAAGCAGTAACATTATCCATAAAGTGGCACATGCTATACTTTACACAATTTGTTAAAAGATAGCTAAAAAATGGCCTGTACAACTTTACAATATCACACTTCAATTTTGCTTTTTGTCATAGGCTTTTAGGTTGATTTTAGTAAACATTATCACATTGGATACCATGTTCACTTCATGTAGGTTTACATACTATGAACACAAGCAGCATGATTCTCCTTATATACACACTACATTTGATGCATTAGAAGCATGATTTTCAACTGTGCTATGAACAGTTACGTTTGAGTGTTAACAGACTAAATAGAAAAATATGCAAGCTAGAATTTAGAATAGTGTTCATATAGCTAATCACATTTTATAGAGGTGTTTTTGAATTTTGCACTGATTCTAGCGATTTTTTACATAAACCAATGGGTGTTGTCATGTTGCCATTTTGGATACTTTTAGATTAATATCTCATGTCATTGTGATCTGAGGTAAACTATTCATAGGATTTATTTCAAATTCAAATAAATGTCAAATGGTATATGTTCTAGAGGTAATTAACTATGGGCAGCCATCATGGAATATAACTTAAGGCATCCATATGAAAGTATCATTGGATATAATAAACTGGCTACCAGGAAAGATTGAAATTGGTGAGCTTGCAATTCGAGAATAGCCAAATTAAACCATAAGATTCAGTGTGCATAGAAATAATATCATGAAATGAAAACCAAATGAAAAATAATTATGTTTTATTTACTTGCAGACTGTCACCAAATTCTTTAAGAAAAAGCTTGACATCAGAAACAAACACATCATCAAGAAGTCTTGAGGTACCTAAACCTCATCAGGCCCACTCTAGTGACAGCCTCTCAGATACAAATGATGATGAAACAGGACTTTCCATGAAGGTACCTAGCAATGTGTATGCCCCCTGGGAGGAATCTTAAAGAATGAGTCATACAGTGATAGGAGTCAAAGTTTTGTTCACGTCTTCGTGGAACTCTAGGAATGTGCAATTTGGACATATGCCCTCTTCCTTTCGTCTCTCGTTTTAAAGATTTCAACACATCTTTATAAAAGATTCCACCATATCTTCACACTATGATGTGACACTTCTTGGGACAGAATACAAGAAGATACAACAGAGTAGAAACTGGAATATGAACTAAAGCGCACACAATGATCTCTAGTTTACCCAAAAGTAGGTGTGGAAAATGCCAGCTATTTATGAATGCATAAAACTGACTGGCTACAGTTCTGATTGGGTAGTTGCATTTTGATCAACCTTTTCTGATTGGTTAATGATAGATCAAATGATTACCTCTATGTCAAAGAGTGCAGATAAAGCTCTCTTTTAACGAAGTGAAATTACACTCTCAAAAAGGGTACTACATGTATTTTACATGATCTGAGTATTATATCTAGTAATTGCCAAAATACGTTTTTAAAAATATCTTAGGAGAACCACGAGAGGTTGGTCAACTATAAACATATCATTTTTGCCAAACTAATTTTGTTACAGAAGGTTTAAAAAGCCAGGGTTCATCATTGAGTAAGAGAAGATAACTTCAAGGTTCAGTAAGATTTTATGATGAGTGGGAACTGAGCCTTTAATGAAAAACATTGATTGTTTGACCCATTGCCATAGAT